AAGATTAATTTATGTGACTCAGATGATAGCGATAGAGAGTCACAGGCTAGGCCCAATCTAGATTTTGATTTGTACACTGTAGCATTTGCTAATGATAATAAACCAGGGAATATTGTTATTGACATGGTTGTCAACGATGTACCATTGCCTATGGTACTAGATACAGGTGCTTGTTGTACTGTTTTGCCTTCTAATGTATATTTTGATAAATTTCAACATCAAGGCACGATTTTGCAGAAAAGCGACATTAAGCTGAAAACATATACTGGTGAGAAAATAAAGGTACTTGGAGAGTTTCAGGTATCCGTTAAACCACCTGAAGGCGGGCCAAATCAACTACTACCAATTGTTGTCATCGAGAGTACTGTTGCCTCATTCCTCAAATTGCTCATTTCACTAATTTAGCCTCAGAATAGTTGACGGTACTTTACAATTATATTAAATTACTTGTTTTTTTTTAAGATTTTCTAAATATTTATGAATATTATTGTTTTCCAACAAATACGTAATTCACTGATAGCGACTGAGCCTACGCACAGGCTTCCAGCCCATGTAGGCTTATTTCCTAAATGACTATATTAACATAGCTTTCTCTGAAACCTCCATCATTTGTTATTATTATTATTAAGTTTACATGTATTTTTATAATTACAGTATTTATTTTATTCATGCAATAGCTAGTAAGGTGTCTGTTTCACTGGAAGTTTATCTTTATATTTTATTCTGTTGAATATTTTTGGAAATAAAGTATATTTTGATTTTGATTTTGTTCCAAACCAACCTACCCTGCTTGGAAGAAACTGGCTGAACAAAATCAAATTGAACTGGAACACACTGAAATCAGGTGAAGAATCGGTCCAAAAGCTGGATGTGTACCGACTGAATGGTGAGTCCGAACCATACTATCACTTAGTTGAAGATTTGAAAATTAAATTTGCACCTGTCTTTGAACAAGTTCCTGGGGAAATTAGATGCAAACCTGTAAATATCATCTTGAAAGAGAATGTAAAACCTGTATTTTGTAAGACGCGAAATGTTCCGTTCGCCCTTAGTGGAGTGTGTGTCAAATTCAAGCCTGCGGCTGTCACAACGGGGGATGATGGAAACACTGTAAAAGTTGCTGTATGACAACAATCCTAGAGCGGTTAACACTACCGGACCTGAATCCATTATCGTAGGCTAGCCTATGGAATAACAAGTGCAGGTGCGCTTTTCCAGTCCACAATGGACCAAATACTAATGGGTCTTGAAGGAACTGCTTGTTATATTGATGATATTCTTGTTTATGCTAAGGACATCAGAAATGAAAACTCGCGTTGAGGCTGTATTAAATAGGTTAATGACACGTGGTGTCAAAATCAACATGTCAAAGAGCAAGTTTTCCAGACTAGCCTAGTATTTTTAGGTTATCGACTGGATGAGCACGGAATACACCAAAGTGAAGAACTCACTAAGGATATTTTGAACGCGCCTAAGCCTACAGACATAACTCAACTCAGATCTTTCCTCGGCCTAGTGAACTTTTACTCACGTTTCATTGCCAACCTAGCATCGGTGTTACATACCCTGTATCGTCTTTTAAATTCGGAAGTAAAATGGGCTTGGGATAAACTGGAGAAGGTTGAGTAAGGAACAGTTGCTTGAAACGAATATTTCGAAATTAGTACGAAAGAAGCTTAATCTTATTTAATTTTCGAAATTTCCCTTTAGTCTGATATACAATTTAAATTTAAAATATTTGTATGGAATAAATATGATAAAAAAAGTTTAACGATTTGTTTACTTTTACTCTCATTGTGGGTTAGAAATAATTGATGGAATAACAGCACACTTTAAAGTAATAGATGCTTGATGTACATACTACTGCTATTTGCTACTGCATACTGCTATGTATACGTGTGTTATTGTTTTGTAAAAGCTATGTAATCTGCCAATGAATTTGAAAAAAAATATAGAAAAAGGAAGATAAACTTAACTTTTATTTTTAAAACCTAGTTCATATATTATTTTTATGTAATGCACTATGAATATCACACAATCTCAAATAATATATATCCCTTAAAATTACTTGCGACTCATGTGTTACCTAAGTAATGTTGTTTCCTAGAACAATCGGGCCAAATTAATACTCCCAATTCCCCTCGGATCGAAGTTGGTCCGACAAGGTTTCCGTGTACAAGTTGACCAATATGACACAACCACGTATCAAACTTTCCAGCGAGAACCGAAAATTACAGAACAATGTGGCTAACAAGGCGCTGACTCAAACTTTTCACAAAACTACAATAATGAGTGTGAAAATGGGAAAAGTTGGGGAAGCCGTTGACAATGCGCGATTTCCTCAATGTGATTCCCTCCTTTTCAACGACGCCTGCAGACTTACAAAGACTACTTACTCGTGCTTTTGTCACTAAATCCCTTCTACACTTTAAAATCCCTCATTTTCTGTATCTCTTTATCCCCTTTCAATTGTGTTCTTTAGTGAATAGCCTTCGAGTTTACACTGTGAAGATAGGTTTTAGAATTAGGTGAAATAGAGATTTGTTTTGACAAATTGTAATAAAGTTTTTCAAAGAACTATTATATCTTTTTACCCTTTTAATTATACTTCAGCTTCTTCAGTGAATTGCCTTCAAGTTTGTAATTGTAGAAAGGAAAATTCGGTAGCAAAGTTTAGACTTGTTTCAACATTTTAAAAACTTTGTATTTTTCTGAAAATTACGTTAAGGCGTCTTTTGACCCACATTTTTGAATCTCTTTCGTTTTATTTTAACTGCGTTTAGCTGTACTCTTCTTCATGAAGTTGCCTCCGAATTTCTATGAAAGGTGAAATAGGTTTGCATTTTATTTGATACATTTAAAAAATTGTTTTTGTATTTACATGCGTCTGAAAAAATAGGATTTTGACAGTAGGAAGAATCTGTGATGGGAATAAAAAGTTATCATTATCAACTGCCACAGAGGTAGGCCAACGTATTTTGACCTAAATATGAGTGTTAAATAGTGTGAGATGATCTGTGTAGCTTTGTTACTCACTAAGATCAGCTGTTTCATCAGTCAGGATCATTTATTTAAGCCCAATGAAAAGGGCCAGCTGGGTCCAGTTTCAAACAATCAAAAGGCTACAGAATTTTCTCAGGATCGGACCGGTGACCTTTTGATTGTTCCCTAACCTATATTTAAGCTGGTTATTTATGTCACATAGACATTTTTATGCCACCTCTAGTTTGTAAAAGTTAGTTGAAAGTCAAGAACGTACTCCTAAAATGTATGTAATTCTTTAATGATTATTTTACTCAAACAACAATTTTTTACAGTCATTCAGTACATCACCCATCATTGCGATCACAATCCCTTTGTGCACTTTGGCACTGATCGGTAGATAAGACGGACAAAGGATTGTGGGTAACAAAAGCTCCCGATGTTCTTTCTCAAGATTCTCCCACAGAAGCGAGCATTGTCCAGCCTACAAAGGGTTGACCCTAGCATCGTGTGTGTGTGTGTGTGTGTGTGTGTGTGTGTGTGTGTGTGTGTGTGTGTGTGTGTGTGTGTGTGTGCGTGCGTGCGTGTGTGTGTGTGTGTGTTCAACCCTTGATGATATGCGCACTACACATCCATCACCGATTTCATTCTTTTCTCCCCTTTTAATCCCTGTCGCAACTCCCATGCCGCTAGCTGTTGGACGTTGCCTCAACTCATCAATTATTTCAAGATCTTTGTCCCTACTGTACCTTCTTTCTTTACTAGCCTTGCTACCAGCTGACACATTGTACGCTACCTTGGCCCATTTTTCACTATTGATATAGTAATCGTTTGACTTCTCCTATCGAACTGATTTGAGACCAAATGCATGCCCATTTCACCTTACAGTCCATGTACCTTACATCGAAGGATCTTCACTGACTTTATGATACATAGTAGACTTAGGATTATAGTGAGACATAGCTTTAAATTTTTAACAAGAGATAGCGAGAGTGAGAGAGTGAGTGACCACTTTTTGTATAAAATATTTTAAGAGCTTTGTCCCTGAATTAATAAATTCTTACAGTAATAGGTTTCTATCTTCTAGCTGATACATTATTAGCAAAAAGTCCCATTGTTACCTGAAAATAGTGTAATTGTTTTACCCATCTGATATAGATTCGTATCACCTTATGACCGCATAGGGTAGTATCTTGAACTACCGGTAACCTGGAATTGCTGGGTCGAAAGTGATTGTTTATCACTACACAAACCAATAGATTGATTGTTACTTGTGATTGAGATAGGACGAAAAATATAAAGTAGAGCCGATTTACCACTTATGAACCTCAGTAGAACCTCTCATGGGGATTATTAAATAAGACTTGTTATTGAGTTTTACTCGAGGATCTTAATTTTGAAGTTTTCCTGTACCCTAAACCCGTCACACTATAAATGTACACTTCAAATAAAAGAAACAGCTCCTAAAAACAACCAAAATTAACTTCAATATTGATATACTGTTTATAATATTGTTCGAAATTAGATTTCATATGAAGCTAGTTCACTCACACACAGGTGATCTCCCGCACACTAGTCACCGGTCATCTTCACACGTTAAACACATTCTGAAAGACAGTGCAGCGTGCACCAACCAGTTTTGCTTTGCTCAAGTGCGCTAAGCAGCAGATGATGGATCGGGCAGTCGTGGCCTCGAGTAGAGATACCGGGGACAAAGACTCTGACAGCGGAATGTACGGGAAACAATGTGGACGGCTCGATCAATTATGTAAAGCCAAGGACTGGTTGTCGCGACTAATCCTGGTGTCGGGCGGCGTTAGACGCGTGGTTGAGGAGCCTGGGAGTACACGTCGCTGGAACTGTAACAATACTCTAGGAGTCTACTGGTGTATTGTAGAGGTGAGGAGCCTGGGAGAGTACACGTCGTTGGAACTGTAACAATACTCTAGGAGTCTACTGGTGTATTGTAGAGGTGAGGTGCCTGGGAGATTACATGTCGCTGGAACTATAACAATACTCTAGGAGTCTACTGATGTATTGTAGAGGTGAGGAGCCTGGGAGTACACGTCGTTGAAACTGTAACAATACTCTAGGAGTCTACTGGTGTATTGTAGAGGTGAGGAGCCTGGGAGAGTACACGTAGTTGGAACTGTAACAATACTCTAGGAGTCTACTGGTGTATTGTAGAGGTGAGGTGCCTGGGAGATTACATGTCGCTGGAACTATAACAATACTCTAGGAGTCTACTGATGTATTGTAGAGGTGAGGAGCCTGGGAGAGTACACGTCGCTGGAACTGTAACAATACTCTAGGAGTCTACTGATGTATTGTAGAGGTGAGGAGCCTGGGAGAGTACACGTCGCTGGAACTGTAACAATACTCTAGGAGTCTACTGATGTATTGTAGAGGTGAGGTGCCTGGGAGAGTACACGTCGCTGGAACTGTAACAATACTCTAGGAGTCTACTGATGTATTGTAGAGGTGAGGGGCCTGGGAGAGTACACGTCGTTGGAACTGTAACAATACTCTAGGAGTCTACTGATGTATTGTAGAGGTGAGGTGCCTGGGAGAGTACACGTCGCTGGAACTGTAACAATACTCTAGGAGTCTACTGATGTATTGTAGAGGTGAGGGGCCTGGGAGAGTACACGTCGCTAGAACTGTAACAATGCTCTAGGAGTCTACTGATGTATTGTAGAGATGAGGGGCCTGGGAGAGTACACTTCGCTGGAACTGTAACAATACTCTATGAGTCTACTGGTGTATTGTAGAGGTGAGGGGCCTGGGAGAGTATACGTCGCTGGAACTGTAACAATACTCTAGGAGTATACTGATGTATTGTAGAGGTGAGGGGCCTGGGAGAGTACACGTCGCTGGAACTGTAACAATACTCTAGGAGTCTACTGATGTATTGTAGAGGTGAGGGGCTTGGGAGAGTACACGTCGCTGGAACTGTAACAATACTCTAGGAGTCTACTGATGTATTGTAGAGGGATGTGAGGTGCTAGACGTGTGACTGAGGGGTCTGGGAGAGTACACGTCGCTGGAACTGTAACAATACTCTAGGAGTCTACTGATGTATTGTAGAGGTGAGGGGCTTGGGAGAGTACACGTCGCTGGAACTGTAACAATACTCTAGGAGTCTACTGATGTATTGTAGAGGGATGTGAGGTGCTAGACGTGTGACTGAGGGGTCTGGGAGAGTACACGTCGCTGGAACTGTAACAATACTCTAGGAGTCTACTGATGTATTGTAGAGGAGAGGTGCTGGACGTGTGACTGAGGGGTCTGGGAGAGTACACGTCGCTGGAACTGTAACAATACTCTAGGAGTCTACTGATGTATTGTAGAGGTGAGGGGCTTGGGAGAGTACACGTCGCTGGAAGTGTAACAATACTCTAGGAGTCTACTGATGTATTGTAGAGGGATGTGAGGTGCTAGACGTGTGACTGAGGGGTCTGGGAGAGTACACGTCGCTGGAACTGTAACAATACTCTAGGAGTCTACTGATGTATTGTAGAGGAGAGGTGCTGGACGTGTGACTGAGGGGTCTGGGAGAGTACACGTCGCTGGAACTGTAACAATACTCTAGGAGTATACTGATGTATTGTAGAGGTGAGGTGCCTGGGAAAAAAAATTCGCTGGAACTGTAACAATACTCTAGGAGTCTACTGATGTATTGTAGAGGTGAGGGGCCTGGGAGAGTACACGTCGCTGGAACTGTAACAATACTCTATGAGTCTACTGGTGTATTGTAGAGGTGAGGGGCCTGGGAGAGTACACGTCGCTGGAACTGTAACAATACTCTAGGAGTATACTGATGTATTGTAGAGGTGAGGGGCCTGGGAGAGTACACGTCGTTGGAACTGTAACAATACTCTAGGAGTCTACTGATGTATTGTAGAGGTGAGGAGCCTGGGAGAGTACACGTCGTTGGAACTGTAACAATACTCTAGGAGTCTTTTTTTTTTTTTTTTTTTTTTTTTTTTTTTTTAAAGAGGTTGGCGGCCTCTTTTAACCTTGCATTTGCCCGTCCACATAGACTAAGCGCCCGTGCGTGGATCGTTAACAGCAAAGCAAGGAGTGAGCCGGTACAGTACAAAGGTGAACTGTACTGATAAAATGTTATCGGCAGTGACCAGGATCCGAACCTACGACATCGCTGCCTTGGGCCCGAAGTCCGCGACGCTACCGACTGAGCCACCGACTCACTAAAAAAATGGACACTGTCTACTGATGTATTGTAGAGGTGAGGTGCCTGGGAGAGTACACGTCGCTGGAACTGTAACAATACTCTAGGAGTCTACTGATGTATTGTAGAGGTGAGGAGCCTGGGAGAGTACACGTCGCTGGAACTGTAACAATACTCTAGGAGTCTACTGATGTATTGTAGAGGTGAGGTGCCTGGGAGAGTACACGTCGCTGGAACTGTAACAATACTCTAGGAGTCTACTGATGTATTGTAGAGGTGAGGGGCTTGGGAGAGTACACGTCGTTGGAACTGTAACAATACTCTAGGAGGCTACTGATGTATTGTAGAGGTGAGGTGCCTGGGAGAGTACACGTCGCTGGAACTGTAACAATACTCTAGGAGTCTACTGATGTATTGTAGAGGTGAGGGGCCTGGGAGAGTACACGTCGCTAGAACTGTAACAATGCTCTAGGAGTCTACTGATGTATTGTAGAGGTGAGGGGCCTGGGAGAGTACACTTCGCTGGAACTGTAACAATACTCTATGAGTCTACTGGTGTATTGTAGAGGTGAGGGGCCTGGGAGAGTACACGTCGCTGGAACTGTAACAATACTCTAGGAGTATACTGATGTATTGTAGAGGTGAGGGGCCTGGGAGAGTACACGTCGCTGGAACTGTAACAATACTCTAGGAGTCTACTGATGTATTGTAGAGGTGAGGGGCTTGGGAGAGTACACGTCGCTGGAACTGTAACAATACTCTAGGAGTCTACTGATGTATTGTAGAGGGATGTGAGGTGCTAGACGTGTGACTGAGGGGTCTGGGAGAGTACACGTCGCTGGAACTGTAACAATACTCTAGGAGTCTACTGATGTATTGTAGAGGAGAGGTGCTGGACGTGTGACTGAGGGGTCTGGGAGAGTACACGTCGCTGGAACTGTGACAATACTCTAGGAGTCTACTGATGTATTGTAGAGGTGAGGGGCTTGGGAGAGTACACGTCGCTGGAACTGTAACAATACTCTAGGAGTCTACTGATGTATTGTAGAGGGATGTGAGGTGCTAGACGTGTGACTGAGGGGTCTGGGAGAGTACACGTCGCTGGGACTGTAACAATACTCTAGGAGTCTACTGATGTATTGTAGAGGAGAGGTGCTGGACGTGTGACTGAGGGGTCTGGGAGAGTACACGTCGCTGGAACTATAACAATACTCTAGGAGTATACTGATGTATTGTAGAGGTGAGGAGCCTGGGAGAGTAAACGTCGCTGGAACTGTAACAATACTCTAGGAGTCTACTGATGTATTGTAGAGGAGAGGTGCTATACGTGTGGCTGAGCGGCCTGGGAGAGTATACGTCACTGGAACTGTAACAATACTCTAGGAGTCTACTGATGTATTGTAGAGGAGAGGTGCTATACGTGTGGCTGAGGGGTCTGGGAGAGTACACGTCGCTGGAACTGTAACAATACTCTAGGAGTCTACTGATGTATTGTAGAGGGATGTGAGGTGCTAGACGTGTGACTGAGGGGTCTGCGAGAGTACACGTCGCTGGAACTGTAACAATACTCTAGGAGTCTACTGATGTATTGTAGAGGAGAGGTGCTGGACGTGTGACTGAGGGGTCTGGGAGAGTACACGTCGCTGGAACTGTAACAATACTCTAGGAGTATACTGATGTATTGTAGAGGTGAGGAGCCTGGGAGAGTAAACGTCGCTGGAACTGTAACAATACTCTAGGAGTCTACTGATGTATTGTAGAGGAGAGGTGCTATACGTGTGGCTGAGCGGCCTGGGAGAGTATACGTCACTGGAACTGTAACAATACTCTAGGAGTCTACTGATGTATTGTAGAGGAGAGGGGCTATACGTGTGGCTGAGGGGTCTGGGAGAGTACACGTCGCTGGAACTGTAACAATACTCTAGGAGTCTACTGATGTATTGTAGAGGAGAGGTGCTATACGTGTGGCTGGGGGGTCTGGGAGAGTTTTTTTTTTTTTTTTTTTTTAGGGTGAGGAGGGAAATGCTTTTACGCACACAGGTAGCCAGCCTGTAGTGTGAGACTCCTGAGTTTATCACAGACTACTCACTAAAAAACCCCCTCTACTCTGTTGGACACAGACCTGGAATTGTTTGTCACATTACTTCAAGTCAGGCCAACATGTGACCTAAGCCCACAGGGCTCGCACCGTTTCTGGCATTATTTATTTTTTGACCTACACCGCATCCCGGTCGAGGTCAAGCTTCTTGGCGCGGAGAACACCCTGGATGTAAAGTGACACACAGGTCCAATTGTCCTCACCCTCCATCATCATCGATATGACCGTGTCCACCGACAGCAGTCCTACGAACTGTTGAGCCTCTAGGCGGGGCCTTTCCCAATGCTGGCAGTGGAAGAAAGTGTGTTCCACGTCATCGGGAATGCCTGGGCAGTATATGCAATCGGGTGACACGGCTTTGCCCATCCTGAACAAGTACGACCGGAAAAAGCCGTGACCCGTCAGAAATTGGGTGAGGTAGAAGTTCACCTCTCCGCACCGCCGATTAACCCAAGGTTGGACCTTTTGTATCAGTCGCCTGGTCCAGAGCCCCCTTGTCTCCTGTTCCCACCTCTCCTGCCACAGCTGGAAGGTCCGGGTGCGTTCCTCAATTCTTGCCTGGTCCTCCCCACGGCGCTGATAAATTGCCTTCCTCTCCGCCGCCAAAAGTTTGACGGGGATGACTCCAGCAACCACCAGGACGGCGGGTTCGGACACTTTTCGATAGGCAGATGCTACCCTTAGTGCTGCCTGACGCTGCACTCGGGCGAGCCGCATTCTATATACCTCCTTATTGAGAGCGTCTGCCCAGACTTCCGCACCGTACAGGAGCACGGACTGGACCGCAGACATCAACAGCCTTCTGCGGCTGGACCGTGGACCTCCGACATTGGCCATTAACCGACTAAGGGAAGAAACCATTTTAGCGGCCTTGTCCGCCGTACGGGTGATCTGGTCTCGCCAGCTGAGCTTGCTGTCCACCATGACCCCAAGGTACTTTGCGGCACGAGTGGTTTGGACTTCAACGTTCCCCACCATCAAAGGCACGATGGTGTCAATCCTCTTTTTAGTCAGAATCACAATCTCAGTTTTGCTCAGAGCGAGCGAGAGACCATGTTCTGCCATCCATGCGTTAATGGTTCGCATGACTCGATTTAGTTTCAGCTGGGCAAGCTCAATGCTACGTGCAGCTATTAAAGCCGCAACGTCATCTGCATACCCAACTAGGACAGTTTCCTCAGGCATCTCGGATCTCAAGAGGCTGTCGTAGGCGACGTTCCAGAGGTCCGGGCCCAGTATGGATCCTTGAGCAGCACCAGAAGTTACATCCATCGTCCTGGAGCCTTCTGTAGTGTCGTAAATGATGAGGCGGTACCGGAGGTAGTCCTCCATCATGCGCATGAGGTATGCCGGGACGTGGAAAGTGTTCTCCAGTGCGTCGAGCATATCGCACCACCTCGCGGAATTAAATGCGTTTCGTACATCAAGTGTTACAAGCAGCACAACCCGACGAGAATAGTTGTTAAACTCCTCAGCTCTCATTACGGCTCGCTTTACCTCCTCAATAGCGTCAACCGTTGACCGTCCCTTCCTGAAGCCGTACTGACGAGGGGATAGATTCCCTGCAGCCACCACGGCTGAATTCAGTCGGGAACGGATCAACTTTTCCAAGACTTTCCCAGCAGTGTCCAACATACAGAGAGGTCTGTAAGAGGAGGGTAGGTCTGGGTTTCCTTTTCCCTTCCCCACGAGCACAAGCCTAGCTGTTTTCCAGCAGAAGGGAAACTTCCCCTCGGCCAGACAGGCATTGTACGTGCTCAGAAGGATTTGTGGGTTTATTGAAAAGACTTTCTTCAGGGCCTCACCAGGTACCCTATCCGGTCCAGGAGCCTTGTTGTTCTTCAGGGACAGAACGGCCGCTTCCAACTCCTCGAGACTGAAAAGCGGTACGTCGTCCACCCTTCCGAACTCCCGCAATGGGCGCAGTGTGTGAGTCGGGAAAAGGGACTTTACGATCCTCTCCATAGAGGCCCCGTCCATAACGGAAGGTGGAGAGCGGGTGCCAAGCTTCTTGGTTACTATCTTGTAACCAAGGCCCCACGGATCGGAATCGACATCGTCCCTTAATTTCTCCCAGCAACTGCGTTTGCTCCGGTTAATGGCCCGGCGAAGAGACTTCCTAGCCACCTTGTAAGCGTCAGACTTAAGACGTCTATCTTCAGGTTCTCTGGCCCTGGTAGCAAGACGTCTGGCTCCCAATGCTGCCCGTCGTAGTTCTGCGATCTCGGTTGTCCACCAGTACACAGGTCGCTTATCGCACCGGGATCTCCTGCGAGGCATTGACTCTTCGCAGGCCGAGACTATCAGCCTCATCAATGATGTAACTGATGTCTCTGCGTGAGCCACGCCAGATGCAGCAGGTACCACTGGCTCTCCCCGTAGTATGACTTCGGTGAATTTGGTCACGTCCAGCTTTTTGGTGTTCCACCGAACGGGCACCTGCCGAGACACGGTAGCTTGTCTCTGATGACTATCCATGACATCAAAAATGATGTACTGGTGGTCACTGGCCGTATAATCCTCTAGGACTCTCCAGGCTCGTATCCTCGGCAAGAGGGACTCAGATGCAAGCGTGATGTCTGGGATCGTTCCCCTCATTCCGGGACGCTGGAAAGTTGGCGTGTTGCCCTCGTTTATGACAACAAGTCCAGCCCTGGCAGCAAAGTCCAGGATGTACTTCCCCCGGGAATTAGTGAGAGTCATTCCCCACTCGACAGCCCTAGCATTGAAATCCCCCGCCACGACAACGTGCCCGGCGGTATCGCGCACGCTCTCTTCCAGGCGGTCTATCTTTCCACGAAAGTCACGGATAGCCTCGTTGGGGGTGAGGTATACACTAAAGTAAGTGACATCCCCGCACCGGACCCAAACGAATCCTCGGCCCTTCGCGTGACTCCTTACCTGCACTTTAGCTGTATTACGAACCCAGAACGCAGCAGTACCAAGTGTATCGGGAAACCAAAGAGATGGGTCCCTGTCCCGGTACTGGTACTGTTCGCTGACCAAGAGCGCGTCAACACCGTGTTCGAGGGCAAGCTGACTGAGAAGCGCGTCAGCCGTCCTGGATCGATCTACATTGCACTGGAGGATCCTTATCTTCGTGGTTGGACTTTCGCTTGTTGTAGTGCGCCTTTAAATGCACTGCACTGCCCAGACCCAGCTATATGTTTAGCGTTTTTATCATTGAGGCCTTTCTCCTTACAGAGGAAACAGGACTCAACTTTACAGTCCCTACGAGTGTGACCCACCTCCCCGCATCGAAGGCAGTTCTTGCCTCGGTCGGGCCCTTCGCAGTTTCGGGAGGAATGGCCGAAATCAAGGCATTTAAAACACCTCGTTACTTCCACCCTCCGTCTCAACCTGCAATTAACCCATCCAACCCTCAAATGCTGGAGTGCCAAAACCTTACTGGCGTTTGCGTCTGCCATTTCGGCGACCGCCATCCGCTGTTGACTCCGGTTTGGTTTCGTGAGCCACACCCTCAGACTAGCCGTTTGTCCGGCAAGCTCGGGGACAGCTTTTTTTAGGGCATCAATGACGTCATCCTCCGTTGACACACAATCCATATCCCGAACCTCGACGGACGTCTTGGGTTCGAGAGCACGAACGGTGCCCTGACCTTCCACAGCTGCCTTTAGTTCGGCAGCAAAGGCGGCTTTATCTTTAGACTTACCCAGTTCGAGGAGGACGTCCCCGTCCCGGGTTTGTCTAATCGACCGTACAACCGTATCGGTTTGCTCTGGCTTAGCCTTGGCCTTGATAACACCCAAGACTTCGGCGAATGATCTTCCCTCCAAAGGCTTGACCAAAATTGCCTCAGTCCTGGGCTTTTTGGGCAGCGACTTTTTAGCGAGTGCCGAGCCAGGCACAGCTTGGGCCACGCCGGTCGACTGCGCCCTCACTGCCACATATGTCTTGGAGCCGACTTCCGCGTGCCTCAATTTCCTCTTCTCCTTTTTTGTAAGGCGCTTTTCCCACACAGTCCCAGATGGTGTTTCTACGACTGACCCCTTTCGGGAGCTACCCTCAATGGGTGTCGCAGGTTGCTGTGGCTGTTGAGGTTTCGCTGGAGCGGCAACTACGTCAGAGAAGGACCTAGAAGTCTGGGTCGCCTTGACCTTAACTTTAGGCTTTGCTGTCTGAACAACCTCTTCTCTTTTTGGAGGGCTTTCTGATGTAGGCCTCCTGCGTTTCTTGTAAGGTCGCGCATTGTCGTCAGGTAGGGACACCACTTTCTCGGCGATCCTTTCCATGGCCGCCTTGCTCACCAGCCGGCAGGCGAAGACAAAACCAAGGTCGTCCTCGAGCTTAGCCATACCATTTTTAACCACTTGGTTAACTCCTCTCTGCGTCTTAAAGGTTTCAAGCATTGCCTTTATGGTCTGCTCCATGTTTCGAAGCCGGTTTTCAATGTCATTTTCTGCGTCGAGATATTGCTGACGCAGAAGTACCATTCCCGACACTTCCAAATCTAACGCTGTTGTTAGGGATTCCTCCGGCATCCCTTCACCAGACTTAGAGGGTGGTCCACCGTTTCCTTCTCCACTTGTCAAGGGAGATCCCAAAGTCAAGTCTTTTGTACACCTGAAAGATGCAGGTGAGGGGCCTGGGAGAGTACACGTCGCTGGAACTGTAACAATACTCTAGGAGTCTACTGATGTATTGTAGAGGATAGGTTGCTATACGTGTGGCTGAGGGGTCTGGGAGAGTACACGTCGCTGGAACTGTAACAATACTCTAGGAGTCTACTGATGTATTGTAGAGGAGAGGTGCTATACGTGTGGCTGAGGGGCCTGGGAGAGTACACGTCACTGGAACTGTAACAATACTCTAGGAGTCTACTGATGTATTGTAGAGGAGAGGTGCTATACGTGTGGCTGAGGGGCCTGGGAGAGTACACGTCACTGGAACTGTAACAATACTCTAGGAGTCTACTGATGTATTGTAGAGGAGAGGGGCTGGACGTGTGACTGAGGGGACTGGGAGAGTACACGTCACTGGAACTGTAACAATACTCTGGGAGTCTACTGATGTATTGTAGAGGAGAGGTGCTGGACGTGTGCCTGAGGGGACTGGGAGAGTACACGTCGCTGGAACTGTAACAATACTCTAGGAGTCTACTAGTGTATTGTGGAGCTATGTGAGATGCTGTTTTGATATCTGAGGAGTATTTTTCTATATTTTATTAACAGGGTTTTTTTATTCAACTATGTTTTTGTTTAAATGTGAAAAATTTTACAATTTTTGCTTTAATTTTACCTGAATTTTTCCTGATATCTTTAAAGTTTCTTTTTGTTACACAATTGCGTTATCAGTTTTATGTACTAGTACATCTTAAAAATTGTTTTCAAACTGGATTTCTTCCCTTACTTAGTTCTTAAAAAAATAATTATTCTTAATACCTAAATATGTTAAATATATTGTTTTTTTACTGGTACATGCAGAGTTAGCATTTACAATTCTACTAGACTAGTCTAACTTTATTTAATCAAGCTGTTTATCACAATTATATTATGTCACTAAACCAATTTAAGATGAATTCATACAAAATTGGCATGATCAATCACTATTATAATAATTATATAACAACTGCAATACATGAAACGAAAAAGTCACTTCACAGACTCATCTCTTTAGGATACGTGGTGTAAGTCTAGTACAGTATTGTATAAACTCTTACAAGATTTCTTTTTAAGTTAAGGCATATCCAAGAAAGTGAACATGAAGTATACGACCAAGGTCCAGCGACCGTTAGATGACCGATGCACCTCGCGGATGCAACTGCAAGTGCAAGGTGCAAGTATTTACAGCCTACGACCCGCTAGGCTGCTAGTTGTGCCACTATTGCGAACAATAAATTCTCCTCTTTTACGATTTGACGAGACTCGTTGGCCGCGACTGTGGTACCGTAACAGCTGATCCTTCAGTTGAATGTATCATCAGGTTGTAAACAAGAGACAGACGAAACAGTTTATGAAAATGGATTTTAAATAGGGTGCTGTTTTATAATTGCAACTTGATTGAGGTAGGTAAATCAATCTTCAGTCTTATGGTGTGTACCCTAGACATGGGTGAGGTAAAAGATTGTCGTATTTGGCGGTCAGAAATGGGTAAAAATGAATTTTCGCAATTGAAGATCGGCTAGTTTTGCAATGAAAAGGTGAAATTTGACAATGTATTTGTAACTGTTTATAACCAACACTGGCTATAAATGTTGGACGATATTAAATGGATTTAAAACTGTATGCATTATCAATGAGATGGTTATATCGAAATTCATGATAGTTTTAACTAATAATAATAAAATTCTAAAGGTGTTATGCGATATAATTATTTTATCACAACAGGTTTTTAGAAATTATTTTACAAAGTTAACATTGCTCTTTTGGGAATAAGGTCTACCACTGATGAAGACTCTTAAATCGGATTCGGGTCGGATATTGAGAGGTTCGTATTCCGATATTTTAACCATCTAACATTAGTTCTAAAAATAATTAACACACTATTTTACCAAATAAATCACACATTTCTCACGTCCAATAAAAACTATTCCCGAGAACTTTAAAACCATCCCCCACCCAAAAGTTATGAATCCTTATTGTGACCCTTCTGAAACAATTTCATCCCCAACAATCAAACTGCAATCAAAACAAGGGCCCTCTACTTCGTTTTACTAATTCGAATCAAAATTTTCATTTCCTGCATAAAATCGCCAATGATTTGTTGATAATGAAAGGTCATTATGCGTGTAGTTGGATTAGGGGAGCTAAGACCCCCGCTAGGTCGTAGGGGAGCTTCTTGCGCTACTGTTGCTTCTCTACAGGGTGTCCCAACAGCTTTTGTCAGGGTTTTATTAGAATATCACCAGCCTTCAGCCCCTTTTCCTTTTTATACTGAGATCCATTCTGTGAAGCTAAGTCATTCTTGTTCGTGTTATGTTTATTTTATTCTCGATCCGAATCTTAGTAATTCTTTTATTTGGTCAAATTAACAGTAAACAAAATATTAACAAAGTCAACATCACATAAACTTTTCTTTCTATAATCTCTTCACTTCTTGAAACATCCAATACTTTCTTTAATCTGCAAGTTCCATTCCACGAAGCTTAGTAAAAACTGCCAGTGTGTTAAACGTTTTTGTATATTTTACTCATTTCGAAAAAGGTGTTATGATTTTACGAAACAAAGTCGTTGAAAGTTGTATTAGTAAAATTATTATATGTAAGGACCTAAAGATTCTTTTCAACAAGTGCTGTTTTACTACTAAGTTAGTTTTATAAAGTTACATTTAATTGGGAAACATGCTAGGTAATTTATTAAACTAACAACAGTGCATTAAAATACTTAAGTATTTACCTTAATATATTTCCTTCCAACGTTGTGTTCATTCAGTTCTTCTATCCAATCAGCTATTAACATTAGCTAGGTGGATCCGTGAATACAACTGTAATATTAATTAAAATTTGCTGATATATTGATATATTTTAATCTACATTTTTCATACATGGAAGCATCGAAAATAATTGTGTAAGGGGTATTTATTGAAAAAAAAAAAAAATAACAATAAGAAGCGATTATAAACCTAATAATTTAATAGCGATCTAAATGGCTTGGTTAATAGAGACTTCATATGGCAAAATCAGAGAACAGATTTATATTAAGAAAATGTTCGAATATTATTCTCCACTCTCGCTGATTCGTTTTTGCCCTTGGCATTAACATAAATACTGAACTCCTAGACGCATCAATTGAAAATGTTTCTGCAGTTCAACAAAAGGATGATTCTATTAATATAGGTACTAATCTTTGGTTTCAGTGGTGTCTACTAGTTTCGGATCTTGTTTTAAACAGTCTTTAGATCTAAGACTTACCTATAAATGCAGCATTTGACACTTTTGTTTGTAACATTTTGAAAGTTCCCCAAACTTATTGGATAATTTAACTCCCCCCCCTTTCCCGAAATTAACCATGTGTACGGCCAAGAGTGAACTACGTCAACTATGCTAACCATCTATTTAAAAACTAACCTAAAACATGTCCCAGACAAGTAGACATGAAACAAAAACCTCTACGTTTTCCTTCAGTAATTTCCCCCTAAGTTTCACTATCAAGGGAGACTGGCGGACAAATGACCACTGCGAGGTTGTAAGGAGTCCTTTGAGACAAACATCACTTGTGTGTCGGACAATTAGACGTCTTTGGTCAACTGGCAAATCAAAGGCTTGTAAACACACAGACCATTGAGTCACATTACCTCCCTTTCGCCCCATTGTGGCATTGTTGACGCTGTCGTTAGGGTGTGTTTCTATTTGTTGAATTGCTTGTAGTATCTTTGTGTAGTTTATAAGGAAAGGTATATATCATTTGGGAAATATAACATGTATGTTTTACCAAGATTGATATTGAGGCAATTTTAAAAACGAAGATTTATGTGTACCTGTAAATATTGAATGGTTTACCTACTTTCCTTATGTAATTATTTAGGTTCATACTGAACGTCTAAAAAATGGTCCTTCGAGCCGGATAAAATTAATCTACGACTTTTAATTAATTAGCCGTACTAAAGTGAATATAAAATTATAAAGCAAAGTATTGGTCAATAGCAATTTGTATCAATAGGATACAAGATGTATTGTGTATAAAATAAGTTCTGATCGGTTTAAGATTGTATCTGTGATCTCAGACTTTATGTCCAAATATAGATATCGATTTTAATTCTAAAGATTTAAAATCATTTATTTGCTCCTAAGATTTTTGACGAGTCATTAAAGCTGCAAAAATATAAACGACCTATCTAACTTTTTGTTTAAAAACTTAAAAAGTTGCCTATTATTACGTGTAGCAATAACGTACAATTTTAAAATATTTACCAAAAGTATTCATCACACGAATAAAATCCACAGCAATAAATCGTCAAATTACACTCGCCAACCCCTAAGCTAAACAAAATGCGATGACCTAATCAATCACAGATATAATTTCAAAGAAGCATGTGTTCAGGGTCATAAATCAGGGTGATTTCGGGTCGCCGCGAGTGGTCAGCAGTCAGCTGTTTGCGATTAAGCTAGAACACAATCACAGATGATTAGGGGAGGGTGGGCAAGACGTGTTATGTTTTAGTCTCAATTAATTACGAATAAAGGAGGGGCTTCCAGATATGAGGGTGTTTTAACTACAGTAGTGTCCTTTAGCATATGGTACATGACCTTGTGGCCTTAGTTGAACAGTTACTATAATAACTTTTCTTCATTGCGATTAATTTAGAGAATGGTGTATTTATTAACTAACTATCAGAGTGCCCGTTCTTCGTACGGGATATGCGTATAAGTATAAAATGCTTATTGCAGTTATATTCTAGCTTTGCGTTTGCAATGGGGGAGGGTGAGGCTTGA